CTGCCCAGGGGCTGCACCCCTGCAAACAGGCGTTGGTTGAAGAGTTTGGGATAGGAAGCTCATTCCCTGCATGTCCCAACCCTGTGCTGGGGTTCTGTGAGCGCCTCGGGGCAGGTCTGGTTTGCCCTGTGGGCTTTCACCCTCGGCGGGGCTGTGCCTTTGTGACCATCAGGGTGGCCGCAGGGTGCACGGGCTCTCCTCATGTGGTTCCATTGAGCTCTGAGCAGAGGAGTTTCCTTTGCAGGCTGCATCGGGAGCAGGTGGATGTGCTCTGGCCCAGGCAGGATGGGCCCCGAGGCCCATTCCTGCTGCTGCTCCCTCACTCCAGGGCTCCGTGTGCCCACGGTGGGAGCCGGGGGCTGCTCTCAGAGCTCCCTCCCCACCAGCACCCCCAGGGCAGCAGCGTGTGGGGCAGAGCACGGGGCTTTAGCACTTTAGCAACTCGTGGGGCAGGAGAGACTGTGGTGCCCTGGGGGTGCTGCTGGGGTCCCAGGGCCCCTCTGTGCACTCCCCAGCACCCCAAAGGAGGGGATGCTGGAGCCCCCCCGGCTCTCTGCCCGCCATGCACTTTAGTTGTTGCGTTGTCCCCGGGGAGGAAGGGGCTGGAGGAGATGCTTCGGGTGTTTCAGTTCCTCTGTACCAAGACTTCACATCCCCCTGTCCATGCGGGTTTGTACAAAGCCCACCCTGTACAATAAACTGTTACTGACACCTATCCTGCCCCCCCGTGCTCCTGGCACCCTGTGACCCAGAGCTGGTGCATCCCTGTGGCCCCGCAGTGCAGCCGGATGGGGTTGAGCTGCCTGCAGGTCCCTGGAGCTGCTCCAGGCTCTTCCCGAGCACCCGTGGCTGAATTGGGACTCAGTGCATTGAAGAGCATGGAAGCATCACCTTTATTGACCCCAAAAGAGTGGGAACAGGGGCTGTGTGCCCGTGTCCCCCTGCTGCTGTTGTGTGGATGGACCACGGCTGCGTTTGGCATCTCTTCCTCCCCATCCTCCTTGAGGAGCCGCTCCCAACGCTGGGAAGCATCACTTGGCCTTGGCAGAGCAGAGCGGCTGTGGGACGCGATGGGACACCACCTCTCCCACAAGGACTGTACCAGAGCCAGTGCTAATGATGGGGATGGGTCCTTGCCCCCCACATCTGGAAGGTAAGAGACCCCCCCACCCCAACCCCTTCCCCTGCCTCACGCTGGGCTCATGGCTGCACTCTGGCTCACGGCTGGGTGTTGGGTTTAGGTATCATAGGGAGGGCAAAGGGACCCCAGTACCCACCAACCCCTCCTGCAGCCATAGCACCCTAGGGTGCAGGGGCGGGGACCCTGCTGTGTGCACCCCCATGCAGGGGGCATTGCCTGTTTTGGGGACCACCAAGAGGGACTCCAAGAGCTGCCCCCTCAGACCCCCACCAGGGCTCTGTCTTGGCCACCAGGACCCAGCCAGAGCCACATCCTGGGGGTGGCAGACCAAGGGCATCACTGCCCTCATCCCGGTGGGGCTCCCACACGTGATGGAGGAAGGAAACCCCCCGGCACCACCGGGACGTGCCCGTCCTGAGGCGCGTCCAGACCCGCACGGCCCCGCCGCCAGGATCGGGCCCCACATCAGGCCACCCGCAGCCACCCAATCGGCGGCCATGGGGAAGGAGGAGCAGGGTTGGGGGGGGAGCCGAGGGGCCGCCGCCGTTCAGGGATGCGGGGACACGGCCACCACGTCCCCTCCTGCGCCTGCCCCGCGTGGGGAAGTGCCAGCCCGGAGGAGGGCGGTTGGGGACCGGGACCCTTTCGGTGCTGCCGCGGCGCTGAACAAAGCCCTGCACTGGGGAGGCCCTGCAGGGGGATGCGCTGCTCGTGCCCTGGCTGTGCCTGGACCTGGGGACGTTTGTCACCGCCTCCATGGACCATCAAGGTGGTTCTTGGATGCGGGGGTCCGGGGGGGGCCAGCCTGGTGCTGACACCGTTTGGTGGGGAGGGGCTGCCCACCCCAGTGCATCCCTGGTGCTGGTGCCTCCTGCCCCGGGTTGCCCTCACCCTGCATCCCCCCCAAGTGTCCCCACATGGGCTCACCCTGCCCGCACCCCTGCCTGCTCCCTGCTTACCTCTGGGAGGGCAGAGGCCTTAGAGCATCCTTCTCTTTTCCAGGTCTCTCTACTATCCTTGTGTCCAGAGGGATCCATGGCATCATCCCCGGCTTCAGCACAGCCCTGGCACTGTCCTTGTCCTTGGGACGGGGGGGGGCTGTGCTGGACAGATGCTGCCGATGGGATGCTGTGTGCACCCACCGCGTGGCTCAGAGCCAGGCCGGTGCTGGTGTGGGCATGGGCCTGTGTGAGCCACACCGGGCACCAGCCTGTGCCGAGGGCAGGAGGCAGCAGCGATGGATCGTGGTCAGAGCGGACCCACCAACCGCCTGCTCTGGGTGGTGACCCTGGGCAGGAGCCCGGTGCCACGGCCAGGGGCTGCTGTGAGCCGGTGCTGGGGCATCGCTGTCCCCGTGGCTTTGGGACTGGTGCTGGGTGCTGGGCCCCGCGTGGCTGTGCAGCCATCCCCCACCCTGGTCCCCAGCATCACCCGGGTGCAGGGCGGTGGTACCCAGGGATGCTCGAGGCTCCCCTGTTGCCATGGTAACAACTATGGGCGGGGCGGGGGGATGCAGTGATGCAAGCAGCGTGTGCCCCCGTGGCCCCCCCTCCCTCCCGGGCCCTCCTGCAGGGCTGGATTAACACCCGACCCCCCATAGGCTGAGCCAAGAACCCCCCCCCGGGGGCTATAGGGCTGTGTGTGCCCAGAGCAGGCACAGCACATGCGTGTGCAGCCGTGCACAGAGCACATACATGTGCACGCATCCCCGTGTGCTGTGCAGCCACACACATGCACGGGTGCACACACGCGTTGCACACCAAGCGGGTGCTTACACGCATGTAGGGAGATGCACACGCATGCATACACGTGTGTGCACACACACCCTGGGGTTGATGAGGGTGAACCTGCCCCAGGGGATGATCCCTGGGGAGCCCACGGGACCTGGGGCTCAGGGTGGGAGCTGGATGGTGGCCACTGGGAGCGCCTCATCCCTCTGGGAACCGCATCCTCCCCCGGGGACCCTGCATCCCCCCCTCTCCCGTCCCGGGGGTGCCGCAGGAGGAGCCGCAGCCGCGGGGCTCAGACCAACACACTTTATTCCATAGTCACAACAGCCAGGATAACCGGGAGCCGAGCTGGGCAGAGCCGGGGCTGCCCTCGGCTGAAATCCCGTTTCTCCAAGACAACAGCTACAGGTTCCTTCACTACCACGAACACGACAAAGGTGACCCCGAGCGCTGGCGCCCGTGCGGAGGCTGCGCCGGGGCCCCACCGGCTCCGGGAGCCCCCCGGCCCGCTCGGCCGCCGCCGGGGCGGCTCCTTCCTGAGAGAGGTTTGGTTTCTTCTTATTATTAATGCTTATCACTGTTCATTATCACCGTGATTCGCTTTGTCTCTGGTGGCGGCGGCTGTCGCAGGCGCGAGTGCCGGGCAGCACCGGGCAGCGGGGAGGAGGGCGCAGCGGGAGGGGGCCGCACGCTGGGGGGGTCTCTAAGCACTACAACCACACGGCACAGACAATCCACCACTGTCCACGACGGTTCTCCCCTGACAAAGACACCCAGCGAGGCTCGAGGAGGGGGCAAGGACCGGGAGGGGATGGGATGGGATGGGGACGAAGCGGATGCTGTTGTGCTTGTGGCCGGGGCTGGGGTAGGGGGGGGGTTGAGCCCCGGCTCTTGGCTCTGGTTCTGGTGCTGACCCAGAACCTGCTCCTGAGGAAACGTTTCGCCTGATAGTCCGTGGAGGGAGCGCCCGGCCCACGGGTGATGCTCGGCACGGAGGGACCCCAACAGGACCAGGAGATGCAGCCCCGGCAAAGCAAGCGAGTGATGAGAGACCCTCACCGCGGCCTCAGGCCCTGCCGGTACTTGGGGGCTTTGGCTTCCCCATGGACGGGGATGGAGGGCGGGATGCTCCGACGCGGGGCGGCCGCGTGCCCTGAGAAGGCACCGAGGTGCTGGTCGAGATCTGTGCACATTGGGGAGCCCCCATGGGGCCCCCGAACCCGGCTCATGCAGGGATGGGGCTCGGGGTGCTCCTGGTATGGGGCTGCCCAGGGGGTGGGAAGGCAGAGCCCCCCCCCCCCCCCCCGGCTACGGCATCACGGCTGGCCCGGCACTGATTTGGCTTTTCCATGTGGGGGGATCTGGGTCCGGTAGGGAACGGCCCGGGAGGAGGGAAGCAGGGATGGGGACACGCTCTATACGGGGAACACGTGTGTGATGCGTGACACCCGCCTGGCACCCCAGGCTGGCACCGCACCGGGGCTACGGGAACACGGCGCGAACGCAATGCCGACACACACAGAGCTACCGCTACACACCGACACATCTACCATGCTGGGGGGACTGCGGGGACCCCAAGGCCGCCCGGGAGGGGGGACATGGAGCATCCCTGTGAAGGGACCTGTGCCAGGGCATCAGGGCAGGTCCCTGCTCTGAGCTGCACTGTGGGGCGCCAGGACCCTGGGGGGGGGGGGGGAGGGTGATGCCCTTCCCATGGTCATGGCAGCCCCATAGCAATGGGCAGCCTGTGACTGGAGGAGCTGCAGCCTCTAAACAGGGATGCAGAGACCCTGGTACCCTGGGAAGGGTCAAAGGGGCGCTGGCATCCCCAGAGACTCAAGGCAATGGGGGACTTGAGAGGCTGCTTCTAGCAGAGGTCCCCACTGAGCCCTGTGCAGCTCCTCCGGGCACTGCTGGCCATGGCCATGTCCCCAGGGCTGGCACTTGGGGTGCCCGGGTTCCTCCCCAGCCCCACACACAGAGCACAGCCCTAACCCACAGCTGCAGCAGCCGAGCTGGTGCTGCAGCCACAGCCACGTGCTCCCGGCAGCGGGAGGAGGTGGCTCAGTGCAGGAAGGAGCCATTAGGAAAAGCAAAGACAAACCTGGCCGGAGGAGCCGTTCCTGCCGGGATGCCTTTGCTCTCGTGGTGCCATGTGGAGGAAGCCCCATGCTGGAGCATCACCCACGGCACTGGCATCGGCTGCTGCTGCTCTGGGCCCTGTTCGGGTGGTGGCTTAAGGCAGAATTCCAGCAGCATTCCCTCTGCCACGTTGGCACCATCGCTCGCTGCAGCCGAGCACAGTGGGACTCGCTCCACCGGCCAAAGCGAGCCAGAGCGGAGCGTGTCCTGCATGGGCATCGGCTCCGAGGCCGGAATGGGGGCTGGCTGCCTTAGGAAGGGCTGGTTCCAGCTGGAATTCAGGGTGGCTCCGGGCACAGCCTCCTCCGCACAACCGCCCGGCGAGAGGAACAACACAACCTCCCGCACCACGTGCGCATCACGTGCGCCCAACTTCGCTCTTCCCAAAGCGAGCGGCCGGGAGCGTGCGATCCCGTGGGATACGGAACCCCCACAGCCGGGGACGCCCAGGGAATGGGGTGCCGGGCAGGGAGGGTTCGGTGGGGCTCTGCCTCCATCCATCCATCCCCGGGGGCTGCGTCAGGGAGGAGGAAATTGAAGCCGTGCTTGAAACGTGGTCAAAAAGCAGACGGAATCGGCCATTCCCCAAGGGATGGGGAGGATGGGATGGGCGCCGAGGGCCGGTGTGGGCGCTCCGGCTGCTGGAGAGTGGGAGGGAATGGCTACTGGGGATGGGAGCAGCCATGGGAAGGGGCCGGGCCCTGGCAATGGAACCCCGATGAGAGGTGAGCAGCCACACGCCCGGGCTGGACGGGCAGATGAGGAGCGGGTGTGTGCTGGGGGTGGGTGAGCGGGAGCTCTGCCTTCCAGCGCCTTCAAGGCAAAATCCCTGATTCCTGCATGTAAACAGCTGGTTTCGGTTCTTATTTTATCGATATGACCTGATCGTGGGGGGAGCAAAACAAGAAACGGGGGTGTTACCTGCAGAGCGCGGGACTCAGTAGGTAAAGACCAAGTCCGAGATGCTGGACATGAGCCAGTCCCCCGCTATCATCTCCGTCACCTCGGGCGTGCAATAGTCCGGGAACTCGAAGTGCGAGGAGCCTCCCCGCGGGAAGAGGTCGTGGTCCTTGTCCAGGACGGACCAGTCCAGGGCAGCGCCGGTGGCACCGGGAGGAGCCCGCCCCGGCACGACCCCCAGCGCCTCCTCCTCCTCCTCCTCCTCCGGCTCCTCATCGGAGGAGCTGAAGGAGGAGGGAGGGGACGCGGCCGACATAGGAGAGGGGGACCCGCTCTGCGGGGAGCTCCCCGGCGCGGGGCTGGGGGGCGCGGGGGGCTCCTGGGCGCCGGGTGCCGCGGGGCTGTCCTCGGGGGGCAGCTCCGGTGCGGGCTCCGGTGGCTCCACCGCGGGCTTGCTGGGCTGCCTGCGGCCGGCGGAGACGCGGCCCAGCACCGAGGGCTTGATCTTCACCGGGAGCCGCGGGCGGGACGCGCCGGTGCCCACTTTGCCCTTTTTCCGCGGGCGGTACTTGTAGTCGGGGTAATCGGCCATGTGCTTGAGGCGCAGGCGCTCGGCCTCCTTCACAAAGGGGATCTTCTCGGAGTCGTGCAGGAGCTGCCAGCGCCGGCCGAGGCGCTTGGAGATCTCGGCGTTGTGCATGTCGGGCCACTGGTCCATGATCTTGCGGCGCTCGTGCTGGGACCACACCATGAAGGCGTTCATCGGCCGCTTGATGTGCCCGCTCGGGGTCTTGCACCACGCGGGTTCGGCATCGCGGGAGGGCAGCGGGGCGCAGGGCTCCCGCCGAGCCTCCGCGCCCCGGCCCCGCGCCCCGCGCTGCTGCACCATGCCGGGCCCCGGGACCCCCCCGCCGCCGCCTTCTCCTCCTCCTCCTCCTCCTCTTCCTCCCCGCCCGCCGCCGCCGCCGCCTCCCCGCCCGCCGCTACGCGCCGCGCCGCGCCGCCCCCATTGTGCGGAGCGGGCGGCGGCGGCAGGGCGGGGCGCCGGGGGCCGCACCGGGGCCCGGGGGCTCACGGCGGAGGCGGCTCCGCCGGGGCGGCGGCTGCTGAGATGCTCCGGGAGGGCCCCGAGCCGGGCCGGCGGTTTTCGGCTTAGGGATGCTCGGCAGCGGTGCGGTCCAGGGATGCTTTGTACCGGTCCGGGGATGCTCAGGGAGGCTCTATACCAGCCCAAGGATGTTCTACCGGTCAAAGGATGCTCCTCGCAGCCCCAGGGATGCTCTGCACCGGTTCGAGGATGCTCCGGGATGTTCCGCCCCGCCCTGGTGATGGTTCCCCGGTGAAGTCTGTGGATGCTCCCATCGGGGACGCTGCGGCGGGTCCGAGCCAGGGGGTGCTCGGGGGCGGTGCGGGCAGCCCGGGAGCCACACGCCCCCTGGTGCCGCTCTTATAGCCGGCGCCGCTCCGCCCCCGGTAAACACCGCCGCGCCGGTTCTGTCAATGGGAGGCACCGCCTCCCCCCGGCCCATTGGCCGCGGGGCGGGGGGGAAATCCAGCCCCGCCAATGGGCGCCCTCCGGAGCGGGGTTGCTGGAGAGAATGGCAGGGCGGCACGCCCCGGTGCCCCCCGGTGCCCCCCGGTACTGCCGGTAACGCAGCCCGGCAACGCCCGGTGCCCCTCTGGAGCAGCACCCCCGCTACCATCACATGAGCATCCAGCTACCCCGGCCTGGGCACCCGTGCCCTCCGGTACCCTCCTGGGTTTGCTCCAGCTACTGCCAATACCCGCTGCTCCCCCGGTGCCTCCCACACCCGTGTGTGCGTATCCCCGGTGCCCCCACACCTCCCGGGCGCTGCATCCCGGCCCCTGCATCCCGGCCCGGACACTCTCAGCATCCCCCGGGTCGCTGCTTTAGACTCCACCACTGCCGGTCCACGGGGCTCAACCCCGGTACCCCCGGCCAGGGTCATTCCCATAGGGGCTCATGGCGTGGGAAGGCCGCTGCCTTCACGGGCACCTCCCCGGGGCGGCGGCACTGGCACTGGCACCGGGAGGATGCGGATGAGGATGAGGATGAGGATGCGGATGAGGATGAGGATGAGGATGAGGATGAGGATGAGGATGCAGATGAGGATGAGGATGCGGATGAGGATGCAGATGAGGATGAGGATGAGGATGAGGATGAGGATGCAGATGAGGATGCAGATGAGGATGAGGATGAGGATGAGGATGAGGATGAGGATGCAGATGAGGATGCAGATGAGGATGAGGATGAGGATGAGGATGCAGATGAGGATGAGGATGAGGATGAGGATGAGGATGAGGATGAGGATGAGGATGAGGATGAGGATGCAGATGAGGATGCAGATGAGGATGAGGATGAGGATGAGGATGCGCTGCCCGCTGCCACGACCGGGACCTCGTCCCCCGCTGCGCGGCCCCGCCAGGCCCCGCCCCTCCCTGCCAGGCCCCGCCCCCCTCCCTCGGGGGCACCAATGGCGCGGCGGCGGCGGCCCCTGTTGCCCCGGAGACCGCGGGCTGCCCTCCAGGGGCCGCGCCCATTGGCTGCAGCCGCGGCGCGTGAGCCCGCCGCAGGGAGTGCGCCCATTGGCTGCGCCCCGCCGGCAGTTGCTGTGGTAACAGGGCCCCGGGACCTCGGCCTGCACCGGGTACCGGGACCTGCACCGGGGTCTGCACCGGGCACCGGGACCTGCACCGGGGCCTGCACCGGGTACCGGGACCTGCACCGGGGTCTGCACCGGGCACCGGGACCTGCACCGGGCACCGGGGTCTGCACCGGGCGCCACGGCCTGCACCGTGGTCTGCACCGGGTACCGGGACCTGCACCGGGCACCGGGACCTGCACCGGGCACCGGGACCTGCACCGGGGTCTGCACCAAGCACCGGGACCTGCACCGGGCACCGGGGTCTGCACCGGGTACCGGGGTCTGCACTGGGCGCCGCGGCCTGCACCGGGTACCGGGACCTACACCGGGTACCGGGACCTGCACCGGGCGCCGGGACCTGCACCGGGTACCGGGGTCTGCACCGGGCACCGGGGTCTGCACCGGGCACCGGGACCTGCACCGGGCACCGGGGTCTGCACCGGGTACCGGGGTCTGCACCGGGCGCCGGGACCTGCACCGGGTACCGGGGTCTGCACCGGGCACCGGGGTCTGCACCGGGCACCGGGACCTGCACCGGGCACCGGGGTCTGCACCGGGTACCGGGGTCTGCACCGGGCGCTGGGACCTGCACCGGGGTCTGCACCGGGCGCCGGGACCTGCACCGGGTACCGGGGTCTGCACCGGGCACCGGGACCTGCACCGGGCACCGGGGTCTGCACCGGGCGCCGCGGCCTGCACCAGGGCCTGCCGTCTCTGCGGGCCCGGCTCTGCGTCCCCCTGGCACCCCGGGAACACCACACGGCCCTTCCCCGCATCCTCCCCACGGCGCGGGGCCTGCGGGCGGTGCCTCCCTTGAGCCGTTCCCTCCCGGCGCTCCCGGAGGCCATGGCCGGCCCTGGGCACGTGGCTCCGGTGGCACCGGGCACCCGCTCTCCCGCTCCTCGTGGCCCACGGGGCGGGGCCGGCAGGGGGCGCCCCTTCCCGGGAGCGCGCGCCCCGCCCGGTGTCCGCGCCCGGCCGCTGTCGCCATGGAGACCGGGACCGGGACACGGGTACGCGGGGTACGGGGCAGCCCCGGCCCGAAGGGGGTTCCCCGGCGGTTACGGGGGTCCCAATGGGACAAAGGAGCGGAGCGGGGGGCTCAGTTCATCCTCCCCTATAGGGCACAGGCAGGAGGACGCGCCATGGGGGCAGTGCAGGTGGGGCTCACTAAAGGTGCCCGGGCGCTTGGGTGCTGCTGCCTCTCTGCCCTGTGCACACCGCGAGGCTTCTCCATGGGGACAGGCAGAGCTGCGGGGCTCGGCCTCCTCAGGGCGTGGTGCTTTTCCCTTGCGGAGCCTGCATGGAGGTGGATGCGCAGAGCCCAGACCCGAGCATCATGGAAGAGGTGAGGAGAAGAGGGAGTCCCTTGCTCCCTGGGGTCCCTGACACCTCCTAGGTTGACACCATTCCCCACACGCGTGCAGCACTGTGCCTGTGAGCGCTGCACCTCAAACAGGCCTGGGGTTTGCTGCTCCAGGCTGGTAAAGGGGCACCTGGAAGCCCCAAAGGAGCACTGGGTGTCGTTGTGGATCAGCTCCGAGAGGTCTCTGCTCACAAACCTCCTCTCTTCGTGCTGTTGGGCTTTTAGGATTACAGCAAAGAGCAGAAGGCAGCAGCAGACCTCCAGGCCAAGGGTTGACTTGGCCACCGTTCACTGCTAAGAACAAGAAGAAAGGCAAGAAGAGCAAGCCAGGTTGGGAGACATTCCCTTGTACCCTGCCCTGCTCCCCCTGCACGGAGCCACTTCTGCATTTGCCCAGTGCATTCTGCTGAAAGACGCTCAGCAAAAGCCACAGAGAGAAAATTACCCAAAGGGAAATGCTGAGAGCAAAGAGGGAGGAGTGGCAAAGGCCAGGGAGAGCTTTGCAGGCTCAGCTCATGGGCTGTCACTGCCAGCAGCTTTTCCTGGGGCTACAGAAGGTTTGAGTTCAGCTCTTTACATTTCCCTCAGCCACCCACATGAGAGAGTAGCTGCAAGGCTGAAAGTGGGCATATCCTGGGCTGCATCCAAAGAGCGTGACCAGCAGGGCGAAGGAGGTGATCCTGCCCGTTGGTGGGTGAATTTGTAAGCACAGGTGATGAGTTACCCAAGCAATATGGGACACTGAGCTGGATCTCTTGAGTTCCTCAGCCCCGTTCCGTGATCAGCACAAGGTGATCTCAATGACACTGTTTGTAGGGCTGGAACCCACACCTCGCTTTCTCAAGGAGCGGCACATCTGGCACAGCATTGCCAACCCAGCGGGGTTTGATACTGGTGCTTACTGGGGAGTTTCTTCAGCTGCTTTGCTTCTCTTCACCCACCCAGGAGATGATGCTGAACCAGCATGGCCTGGGGCTTATGATGATAAGCAACAACGTTCTGCTGCATGGAATAGAGAGGCAAAGGGAGGTGTGAGCTGGGGAAGAGCCAGCGTGGTGCAGCAGAGCTGACACCCCCAGGGTTTGCCCTTCATGAGGCTTTCCTCGGCCCCACTGGGGTCTGTTGTCCTCCATGTACCTGGGAGCCAGTGGCCCATTAGGACATCCCAAGGACAAGTGGGCATTTCAGGCAGCTGTTGGAGGGTTATTGCATGAGGGATGTTTTCCAGCTCTGCTGTTTGCACAATCGCCATGACAATTCCTGCTCCTATTGCAAGGTAAAGAGCTCTTAGAAACGTCCTTCCTTCAGAGTACTCAGGACCTAGAGATTGAGGAGCTGAAGGGAAGCACGCAGACCCTCTGCCAGAACACAAGAGACCCGAGAGAGCTGATCTTTGCTGACGTTCTTCTCCACAGACCCACATAAGGCTGGTTATGGGTGTCAGAGCCCTCTCCTGTGGCTTGGGCTGCAGAGTCTCTGGCCCTGGGTGTTGATGACCCAGCCCCACCATTCCCACAGGCAGCACTGTTAAACCCACACCCAGCCCGGCTACAAACCCACAGTTACATTGGGTTCTCCTTGGGCAGACGGCTGCAGGGTCTCGTGGTCTTCCCTAAGAGCAGCCAGGAACGAGCCACAGCCAGTACTGGTCCTCGGGCACATCACATCTCTCTTCTGGGCTTCCCTTTGTGCAGCCTGCAAGGGCAGATACCAGGGGCTGCAGGCGGGGAGAATGAGGAGCAATGGAGCTTCTCCAGGCCCCCGTGCCCACACTGACTCCCACTCTGTTGGTTCCTCTCACTGATGGAAGGCAGGCTCACAAGGAGCTTCCCTGCCCAGGCAGATCTGCCCCACTTCTCTGGTAGCTAATTCCTGCGTGGATGCTGGCAGTAATCCCCACGGCCAGCGTGTGCTCGTCCTGGGTGTAAGAATTCCAACGCACAAGGAGAATCCTCATGCAGTGTTGATGGGAGCCATCAGCAGCCCTGCCAGCTCGGTCACGGGAACACCGGGCTCTCCTCCCTGGGGACAGAGCCAGGCAGGCCAGCAGCCTGCTGTGACACGCTGCTTTCCACCCCATCCTTGTCAGGCTGAGGGACAGCACTGCCCCTCGTCCCCAGGAAATCCCAAGTGATGTGGACCCGCCGAGGGGCCGTGGCTCTCTCTGTTGCTGTTTGCTGACCAGGGGGCAAACGTGTTTAAATCTGGAGGGTGCTGCAGCCCCCGAGCAGAAGCTGGGAGCAGGACAATGTGCACGTGTGGGTTATTTACAGCAGCTGCCATACAAACTGTTCCTGGCACGGAGGCGCCTGTTAACAGTCATTCCTGTCCAGCCTCTGCTGCTGCTGCAGGTACCGGCCCCTCGGCTCCCTGCGCACACATGGGGCTTGTTTTGGGGTGGAAAAATCCAGCCCTTGGGATGAGCAGTGAAGTGAGAGCGATGCAGGAGGGGCTGATCTCCCTCCCCACGGCCTGGGTTTTAGCTGGAGGCCAGGTACGGCTGTGGGGACACAGGTCACAGGAGGAGGGAAGGCTGGAACGTGTCAGGATCACATCACGCAGGGGAGGCAATGGAGCAGCACAACTTGGGAGCTCTCTGATTTCAACCAAAAATGACATAAAAAAAAAGGAATTACTTCTCCTGCACAGCTGAGGGGGAAGGGGGGGGGGCTGGGACAAGAGTTAAAAATAGGTTAAAAATAGCAGGAAGGCCCAAGTGGAAAGTTTCTGTAACATCACAAGTCAGGCATTTGGTGCTTACCCGCCCTGACAGCCGGAGCCCGTGCCAGCGCCCTCTGCGGCCCTCAGCCCTTTCCCACTGACCTCCCGGCAGCTTCTCACACGGCTCCACCAGCTCCCATTAACCCTTTGGCTCCAGACACAGGATTTGCTTCCCTAAAGAGGAAGATCAGACGGAAGCTGCCCTTGGTCTGGGAGCGTTTGGATGTGCAGCAGCACGGGGCCCTTTCTGCCCTCCCTGTGTCTCCATCCCCAGCTGCATCTCAGCTTCCCCTCGTTCCAATCCTCTTGCCCCAAAGGGCCATGGGTGCATTTCAGCAGCAGCCTCCGGCCCTGCACTGGGACCCTCTGGATGCACCATTTGTCCTGGATGGGACAGAGATGGATGAGCAGAGCTCGGAGCCAGCCCAGCTCCCTGCACATGGCCTGTCTCTGCGAGAAAGCAGATGTACCTGCTGCTCCCAACGGCTCTCTGCTGCTGTTTGTCCGTTGGGATTGACACTGAGGGAGGCTCGCTTCATTCCTTCTCCCTCTCGGAGCCCTGGGGTTAAGCCTGGCTCTGCTTCTCTGGGAAGCAGCGAGTTCACAGCCTGCTTTGCAAAGGGCTTGGTTGCAAGTATGGCTGCAACGCCAGTATGTAGAGCAGGGCTTGGGCTTGGCACTGGTTTCCTTCCCAGGCAGAGGAGTCAGTACCTGGGACAGACCATGATGAGTGCCCTGGAAAGCAAAGTGGTGCTGGGGAGTGGAGGTCGGGCTGGGCACAACAACCGTTGTCTGGTTTTAAAGAGGTTTGCTCCCTGCTCCTCCCTGCTTCCTTTGTTCTGTGTCCCAGAACAAGCACCTGGGCCATCGCCATTGAAAACCAGTCCTGGACACTGGAAACACTGGAAAGGCAGAACAGCAAATGCGAGGCAGGCTTCCCTTCGCCTGGGACAGGATGTCTCTGAGCCCAGATCCATCACCCCCTCCTGCCTGGGCCACGCAGGAGCTTCTCCTCCTCCTCACACCGATCATGGCTCATTCCCACTCTTTACTTTGTCCTTCCCGTCCCCCAGGTGCGTGCTGGACACTGAGGTGGTCCTCAGCATCCCCACCGAGAAGTCTCCACTCCTCTGCTATCACCAGGCTCCGCTTGCAGGTCCCTCACCCAGCGCTCAGTGCACCCACGCTCCAATGAGGTGCTGAGCTGCACAGCACCTCCCTTGCCACCAGTGCTGCACCCCAGCCCCGCTCAGCCGCCTCGGGCTCTCTCTACTGTGGGTTTAGGGTGCAGTAAAGGTGTTGCCATCATTCCTGTGCTGTGCTCATGGCTGCGGTCCCTCGGAAGGTGCATGGCGTGAGCCCTGGGAGCAGAGCTACTGGGGAGGGGTCAAAGCCAAAGGTGCCTCCCTACTGCAATGCTCTGCCCGTGAAGGGTGTCCTGGCACTGCCCCTGGTCCGGGCCAGCCACTGGGCTCAGATCAAACCGGCTCTGGTTCTTGCCCTTGCCAAGCCAGACTCCGGCTCTGCCTTCCCTCACTGGCTCTACAGACCCAAGGCTGGTTTCGGTCCGAAGGCTGCTCCCCGGGATCGAGGGGACGCGCCCCGGGGGATCCAACCCTTCTGCGGCATCGGGAGCCCCGCGGGGACCCCCGGGACCGGGCAGGGGACCGGGGCCGCTGCGGGCCGGGCTGTGACCGGCGGGGGAGGGACCGGCCGCGGGGAGCGGCTCCACCTCCCTGGTTTAAAGCCCGGGGCCGGGCGGCGGCGGGTCTGTCCCGAGGAAAGTTGTGTCCGTGCTGCCGGCGGCTCAGGCGGGCACCGGCACCGGGAGCGGGACTGGCACCGGGAGTGACCCCAGCATCTGCAGTGACGCTGGGAGCAGCACCGACACCGGCACCGGCACTGACAGAGGCCCCGCGCCCCGGTGCTCGGGCGGCCCTGGTCGCCGCCGATGACCCTGAACACGCAGCGCGGGAGCCACAGCCCGCTCCGCCGCAGGGCCAGCACCCCTGTGCCGCGGCCGGGGGTCTCCTGCCACCCGCAGCTGGAGCACCGCTCCTCCGAGCCGGGCGCCAGGGCCGCGGCCCCCCGCGGCAGTTGGTCCTCTGAGTCCTCGGGTTCCTCCGGCGCCTGGGAGCCGCTGTACCGCGTGGTGCTGCTGGGGGACCCCGGCGTGGGCAAGAGCAGCCTGGCCAGCCTCTTCGCCGGCGTCCAGGAGCGGGATCTGCTGGAGCAGCACGGAGGTGGGTGCCTGCAGGAGGTAACGGGCTGGTGGCGCGGGTGCAGCCCCACAACGGGAAAACCCCATCAGCGTGGAGCCGGTGGTGGCCATTGGCACCGATTGGGCTCTCCCGGTGTCTTGCAGAGGCCGCCTATGAGCGCACGCTGTGTGTAGACGGTGAGGAGACCACGCTGCTCGTGATGGACACGTGGGAGCCGGAGCAGCGGGTATGGCCGGGGATGGGCACCGCTGCGCCCCTGGGACGTGCCCAGGGGATGCCGTACAGGCCGAGCCACTGCTTTGGAGCCTCTCTGGGGCCTCCCTGCCGTGTCCTTGGCTCTCACTGCTTGCTGCCCTTGCAGCAGAGCTGGGGAACACGCTGGGCAAGACAGGGGCTGGGGTTGCATCTGGGCAAGACAGGGGCTGGGGTCGCATCTCTGAGCTGCTCTTTGCCCACCTTTCCCATCATGTGCACTGTGGGGTGGGCACAAGGAGCCCCTCGCATGTGGGTTGGGCCGGGAGGGAGAAGGGATTGCAGGGAAGGAACGTGGTGCCAGCCCGTTTGAAACGAATGGAAATGGTTTGGGACTGAGGCTGAAGGAGCCAACTGAGCAAATCCACGTGAGCCGGTGCTGCCAGCCAGGGCACGTGCTTTAACCGGCAGAGCGGTGGCCCCGGGAGCCTGGCACGGGGCATCCCTCCCGCCCAGCGCACAGAGGCACCTCCCGGGCAGAAATGCCACCACCACTGTCGTTGCCTCCCTCAAAACACCCCTTTGCCCCCCTCCGTGCTGCATTCCTGCGGGTGTCACCGGTCCCTGCGAGTGGGGCTGGAGCCAAGCTGAGCCCACGGCCCTGGTTTGTTGTTGGGAGAGGAGGAAACGCTCAAACACCCCCCAAAATCAGAAGGTTTTAATCTGTGCTTTATTAATGGGGTCACAGGTCCGCTCGCCATGGTGTAGGGGCTGGTGGGGTGCGCTGGCAGGTCCCATGGGTACTGGGGCGCTGCCAGCAGCCCCCGCAGAGCTGTGACATGTCACTCCCCATGCGGTGGCAGGGCAAGGGGAGCCAGTGCCGCAGCCAGTGCCTGCAGGTCGGGAACGCCTATGTCATCGTCTACTCCATCACGGACCGGGGCAGCTTCGAGAGCGCCTCGGAGCTGCGCATCCAACTGCGCCGCGCTCGGCAGCCCGAGGACATCCCCATCATCCTGGTGGGCAACAAAAGCGACCTGGTGCGGAGCCGAGAAGTCTCCATTGAAGGTGAGCGGGGCTGGGGGGTCCCTCTGCATCCCCCTGTGGCTGTCCCCTCGTCCCAGCCATGCGGCAGCGCTCGGGGTGCCAGCGGGGCCACGTCCCCTCCTTGCCCTTCCCTTGCAGAGGGCCGTGCCTGCGCTGCCGTGTTCGACTGCAAGTTCATCGAGACATCGGCGGCTCTGCAGCACAACGTGGCCGAGCTCTTCGAGGGGGTGGTGCGGCAGCTCCGCCTGCGCCGAGGGGGCAAGGAGCCCCACACGCGCCCTGCGCAGCGGCACAGGCGCAAGGAGAGCCTCACCAAGAGAGCCCGGCGCTTCCTCGACAGGCTGGTGGCCAGGAACAGCAGCAAAGTGGCCCTCAAGTTCCGCTCCAAGTCCTGCCACGACCTGTCTGTGCTCTGAGAGCCGCCGGTGCCTGCCCAGCGCTCCGCACACCCAGGCTGGGACTGCCCTCTCCACCAGCAGCGTGGCCGACGGCTCCGTGGAGAGCCCAGATAGGACCAGAGCGATGCTGGGGATGTGGAGCTGGTTTAACCGGTGCTGAGGGATGCTCTGGATCCAGCCACATCCCCTCCAGGAACAGAGAAGTGGGGCCGGATCCCCTGGGCTGCGCTCATGGAGCAGAGGGTGGGATCCTGGGTTACAGCTGCTCCTGGGCAGCGGAGGTGAGGGGTGGCCGTGCCCTGGGAGCGTGGCAGGTCCTGCTCGCGGTGCCCATCCTTCACAGGACAGCAGGGAGGACACAGGACACGGTGAGGGCACCATGGTGGTGGCAACATCGAGGACATCCTGGAGCCTGGCTGTGGAGAGGGACCAGGGGAGCCCCGGCAGCATCGCCCGGGGCTCTGTCCCACATCCTCCTGGCACTGGTGGTTCTCAGAGCGAGGTTTTTCTGCTGTGTCTGTACTGGTGCAACGGGGAAAAACCTCGATCTGCAGAATAAACCACTCCGGGGGGGGGGGGGGGGGCTGGTCCCTGCTGCGGGGAGCTGCATCCTGGAGCCGTGTGGATGGATTCAAGCCCAGCTCCTTGCCAGTGGCTTGGGACCCGCCAGGCACCCGGTAGCTCCAGCAGCGGCGGGCAGGGGCCGGGAGGGCTGCAGGGGCCGCGGCGCTGCCGCTCTGGGCCGGGACGTGCCGGGCTGCAGCGAGCAGCGGTGACCCCAGGGGCCCCGGGGGCTCTGGGGGCTGCTCCTGGGACGCCGCGGGGTAACCGGTGACCTCCGCAGCCCCGGCCCGGAGCCAGAGGGGAGCAGGGAGCGGGGGTCGGGTCAGGAGTTTCCGTTCGCTCTGCGGCTCGAGCGTGGGGAGCCGCTGGTTGGGGCTGGTCAGAGCGGGGACAGCGGTGCAGGGGGCCCCCGAGCCATCGGTGATGGTGGCTTTCTTCCAGGGCATCCCTGCCCCGCGCACCGCCCCGGGTCCCGGTGCCGCCGGTCACACGGCGTTGCCGCGCCGGGGCTGAGGGCTCCCGATGCCGCTGTGGCTCCCGCAGCTGCAGCCGGCGATTCCCTGCGGCAGGAGGCGCGGGGGGGCAGCGGGATGGAAACTTGGCAGCGGGAGGAGAGGGGAGTGGAAAGAATGAGCTCAAACCCAGAAAAATGCGGCCGCGCCGGAGGGTGGGAGGAGAGGCCAAGGGGGGCCGTGGAGAGGCGCTGGGAAAGGATGGGAGGAAGGAAGGAGGAGGCGCTGCGGGGGCCAGGGCTGCCCGTGACCCCCGATGTGGCCCATATCTGGGGCAGGCAGTGCCGGGCTTGGGGGCTGCAGCCCCTCCAGCGGGAGCTCAGGGGCTGCCCCAGTGCCACCACCCCAATGCCACCACCTCTGTGTGACCCATCCGTTGACCTCAGTGTGATCTCCCCCAGACCCATCTGCTCCCCAGTGCCATTCCCAGTGGTGCCATTGGTCCCAGTGCCACCGGTCCTGCTGCTCAGCACCTTCCTGGGACACGATACCCCATAGGCTCTGGACACACAACTGTCTGATGTCCTCAGTCCATCCCATCCCAGGGCAAAACCCATTCCCTGCTGGCAGAGCCCTTAGCACCGGTGCTGAGCCAGCTGCCAGCCCCACACTGGTGGGTGCCATGGTTGGACCCCAGCACACATGGAGATGGGCGATGGTCCCACTATGGCCCCATCCTCCTCCAGCCCCCTCACCCCATTCTCCCCCCCCCCCCCCCGGCCTGGAGCGCCCATCCCGTTATGCAGCGCTCCCATGGGGAGCAGCGGTGACAGCAGCAGGAGGAGATCCCGTCCCGGAGCCCTGCCCGGAGCCCATGGCGGGCAGTGGGGCGGGAGCACGGGGTGAGCCCGGCGGCGCTGCCTGCCCCTGCCCGGCCACCTCCTCTGTGGGGAACGGGCAGCGCCGCGGGCAGGGATCCAGGGGGGGCTCTGCCCTCGCATGGGGCTGGGGGCTGTGAATCATCTGCTCCAGAGACACAAGAGTTGGGAGGAAAAAGGGAAAATGAATTGAACCAATAAATGAAACCTTGTTCTGTACCGTGTGCTGCTCTGCGCCCCTCGCGCTCAGCGAGGGCAATGGGGCTGCACGGCACAGGGGAGCAGGAGGAGGAGGAAGAAAGGGGGGGGGGGGTGGCGGGCCCAGGATGCAGCCGGGCTGAGGGTGGCGTGGGGGGGAGGGAATTTTTGTGAGGAAAACACCCATTCCAGCCAATTTTCCATCAGATCCTGGCCCCAGCCCAGCAGCAGCAGAGGGGATCCCTGCTGCTTGGGAAGCATCCTTATGGAGGGGCTCTTGACGGAGGGAGGCCATGGGGATGCTGGTGGTGCCCGCAGGACACAAGGCAGAAGCTCTTCCCTGTGAGGGTGCTGAGGCGCTGGCACAGGGTGCCCAGAGAAGCTGTGGCTGCCCCATCCCTGGCAGTGCCCAAGGCCAGGTTGGACACAGGGGCTTGGAGCAAGCTGCTCCAGTGGGAGGTGTCCCTGGATGGGACTGGATGCGCTTTAAGCTCCCTTCATCCCAAACCGCACCGGGATGCTGCGATCCGTGGGTGGTACCCGGGGTACCCCCGGGGCCGGGGCGGTCTCCTAGCAACGCGGAGCGGGTTGCTGGGGGCGTGGTCTCGGCGGTGACGCAAGTTCCGGCCGCTGAGAGGACGTGTCCCTCCGGAAGCGCGGCGCCATGGAGGAGGCCGCGGCGCACAACGGCAGCGCCGGGCCCGGGCCCGCCCGCCCGCCCGCCACCCCCGAGGGCATGGCGCTGGCCTACGGCAGCCTGGTGCTCATGGCGCTGCTGCCCATCTTCTTCGGGGCGCTGCGCTCCGTCAGCTGCGCCAAGAGCAAGGTACCGCGGGGCCGCCCCGCCACCCCCCCGGACACCCTCCGCTGCCCGTAGGCCTCGTCCCGCCGCCGCTCCCGGTCCCCGTCTTTCCCCCCCCCCCCCCCCCCACAACCGGCAAAGACCCGCGCCCCGCTGGGTTTCTTGTGGAGGGGGGGGGGTGCCCCGGGGCTTCTCCAGCCCCGTCCTCGCTGCCCCGGTGAATCCAAGCGCTGCCAAGCTCCCAACCTGCCCCTGGAGATGCTGCGGTGGGGATTGGGTTGGGGGGGGCGCTGTGGGTCTGCTCCCCCGCCCCGCAGCACCGGGGCTGCTCCCGGCGGTGCTGCCGCCGCTCCTGCCCGCAGCCTCCGTCCCTGCCTCCCGCTGCGCTGCTCTCGCCTGGCTCCCGTAGCAGCTGGGACCTGAAGTGCACCGGAGATGCTCAGGAGAGGGGCTGCTTTGCCCGGTCTGGTTTAGTGCTGGTCCTTAAAGGCTCCTGGGCACAGGGAGCATCCCTGGAGCGAGGTGAGGGGTAAGAGGGTGGCTGGAGAGGAGCATTGCTCAGAGGTGATGGGTAGGTGGGAGCCCAGCAGCCCTCTGGGCAGGGGGAAGGAGCGACACCAGCACAGGGGTTGTATTTTCCCTTCTCCAAGAGGACGTAAGCAGTAAATGGTGGCAGCCCCTGGAAGGCTGCGGGTGGGCTTTGCTTTTCCACCTCAGGCTCTGCCTGTGTCACAGCCCCACCTCTGAGAGGGATCCCAAAGCCACCCCAGTCCCCGCTCATTGCGTGCATTCATCTCCTGCTTGGGTATGAAGGCAGAGCAGGGGCTGAGCCTCTCCTGTCCTCCCCTTCCCTCCCCAGAACTCCTCGGAGATGCCAGAGACCATTACCAGCCGTGATGCTGCTCGCTTCCCCATCGTTGCCAGTTGCACCCTTCTGGGGCTCTACCTCTTCTTTAAAGTAAGTGAGAACATCAGCAGTGCCTGGCATGTCCCAGGGCTGGGGCAGGAGCGCCCGGAGTGGGGCTGACTCCAGTTTTGGCCCTCAGTGTTGGGACAGAGAACATGTGAGGCTGCCCAGCTTGAGCTGCTCAGGGTCCCCGTGCGGGAGGCCATCGGGTCTCACCCGAATCATCCCAGCTCGGGGGAGCTGGAGCCTGCTTGTGCACACATTGGCTCTGGAGAGCAGCCGAGGGGTGAGGGCACCCCTGAGCTCCGCCTGTCCCTGGGGCCTGACTGAAACTGGAGGGTGCTGGCGACCACCGAGTGTCAAACTGAGGGTGCTGAGGCGCTGGCACAGGGTGCCCAGAGAAGCTGTGGCTGCCCCATCCCTGGCAGTGTTCAAGGCCAGGTTGGACACAGGGGCTTGGAGCAAGCTGCTCCAGTGGAAGGGGTCTCTGCCCGTGGCAGGGGTTGGAGCTGGAGGAGCTTTAAGGTCCCTTCAACCCAACCCATTCCATGGCTCTATGAAATGCTTTTTCCATGTTATGCTTCCTGTTGGCGCTCCAGCTTCCAGCCCTGCTGTCCTGGGCTGCCTGCGGGGTGCTGGGATGCTCCTGCCTGGCCATTAGGAGAGGTTTAGGGTGCAAGGTTGGGAATGCTGCAGTTACCACACAGCAGCCGACTGCTGCTTGCTCCTGGATGGGATGAAACAGCAGGAAGAGGAGTGCTGGATGTGCAGCAGGGCCCTGCTGAATGATGAGCAGCTCTGCCCTTTTAATTCCTGCAGCCATGAGCCCCCCTGTTCCACCCCCTCTGCCAGGAGAGCAGGGAGGAGCTGGGGTCCCCTGTGCTGGGCTGTCGGGGTGGGATTCAGTGTGCGTTGGGGGCAGGACTTCTGTTGACCCCGGGGGTACTGCTGCTCCCCTCTGCTGGGGCAGCCCCCCAGGAGCAGTGCTGTGCCTCGCTCCCTGCCCCAGCTCTGCAGGGGACACATGCAGGAAGGCTCTGTCCTCCTTTCTGCCACACAGGAGTTATTTTTTGACCCAAGCAGCACGCCAGCTCGCAGGCCCAGTGCTTGTTCTGTGAGCACACAGCTATTTCCAACTCATCTCCCATCAGCGGTGCAGGAATTTGGGTTATTCCAGCTATTCTTCTCCTCTCCCTGGAGCACTGGCACAGCAGCTGCCGGTAGGAAACAGTGCAGTGCTATAGGTGGGGAGGACACTGCGGTTATGACCCCCTCTCTGGATTTGCCTTGCAGATATTCTCTCAAGAGTACATCAACCTTCTGCTTTCCATGTATTTCTTCGTGCTGGGGATCCTCGCCCTGTCC